TGGAAAGAGAAACTACAAAGACTCTCAGACAGACAGATCCTGAGGGGAAGAGGCCAACACTAACTCAAGAGGGCAACAGGGTCTATTAACTTTATAAAGTGAGGATAATCAAGTGACAATTCAACACAGAGAACAAACCAAGCACCTGAATACCAGTGTCAGCACTGCAGGACAGCGAGGGCTCACAGACACAATCACATCAAACACTATCACAAAGGAATTGCACAATTTCAAAACCATAGGTCACTTCCAGAAGATGTGCAGATGTAAGACATTGTTTCAGAGCAGAGGAGGTAAAGGTGATGACATTAATAAAGTGGTCGATACAGTAGAACACCCAACACCATTAGAAAAGATACTTTCACAAGACACCTCCATTGGAAAAGAAAGCCAAGGCATTCCCAGGGAAAATAACTAATCCAAACAAGTTAGGAGAAGCAGAACTTATCTACATCAATGGACAGCCTTATTTTATGCATGACAAGGTGTGAGTGTTACTGTCCTACCAGACCTGATACCATGCCTCATGAGATAGATGTTCCCACCTACATATATAAGTCTACGTATGTCTAACTGTCAGAAGTAGTGGGGTTCTACAAATTACAGTATAGTGCAATGCAAATAAGAGATTTGATTAGTTGTATGTTGTTTGCAGTCACTCAACTTCATTTTTGAGCATGCATGTATTTCTCAACCTCAACTTGAACAGAAGAGTTTGAGGAAATTGAAAACCTCCCACAGAACAACAGGTCCAGGAACAAACCACTGCTTAAACAATGGCCCAGGAACAGATCATTACTGACTAACTGGGTAAGAGGCAAGCAATAGAAGGCATTATCAGGCTTCAAGATTCATGGCAGAACGCAAACAGAAGAAAGAATCTGTAGACATTAGCTATGATGGGAAGTGTTTCATACAGCCAAAAGGAAACAATAGTCAGCAAGCCAAAATTCAGCAGGAACAAAACAACGACCAGGCTGGTCCAGAAGATTAAGTCATTTGGGATCCATGGTGAGTTGGTATGTTGGATACAAAATTGGCTTGGTCATAGAACACAGAGGGTAGTTATGGAGGCTTATTTCTGACTGGAGGTCTGTCACCAGTGGTGCTCTACAAGGATCAATGCTGGGACCTCTGTTGTTCATAACATATATAAATGATTTGGATGATAATGTAGGTGGTCTGATTAGTAAATTTGCAGAAGGTACGAAAATTGGTGGAGCTGTGAACAGTAAGGAAGGTTGTCAAAGGATAGAGCAGTATACAGAAAAGTTGAAACGTTGGACGGAGAAATGGCAGACAGAGTTTAATCCAGGCAAGTGTGAGGTGATGCATTTTGGGAGGTCAAAGCAAGAGGAAAGTATACTGTAAATGGCAGGACCCTTAAGAACATTGATGCACAGAGAGATCTTGGGTCAAGTCCATAGCTCATTCTCCTCGTGAACATGCACATTCTCCTCGTGTCTGTGCGGGTTTCTTCCAGGTGTTCACGTTTCCTCCCACAGTCCAAAGATGTGTGGGTTAGATGGATTGACCATGGGAAATTGCCATTGGTGACCAGGGAGATGCACGTTAGGTGGATTGGCCATGGGAATTGCAGGGTTACAGGGATAGTGGGTGTGGGTCTGGATGGGACGCTTTTCAGAGGTTCGCTGTGGACTCGATGGCCTGAATGGTTTGCTGACACACTCTAGGTATTCTATGGTTCTATGATTTTAAGTCATGTTATAGCTGTATAAAACTTTAGTTAGGCCACATTTAAAATATTGTGTGCAGTTCCGTCGCCACTCTATGGGAAGGATGTGGAGAATGTACAGAGGGTGCAAAAAAGGTTTAATAGATGTTACCTGGATTGAGGTGTACTAACAAACTTGGATTGTTTTCCTAGTGTCGGAGGTTGAAGGCAACCTGATAAGAAGTACATAAAATTATGATGACAACTCGTCTACTGAGGTAGTATGGGCTGAGGTTAGAACCAGGAAAGGAGAGGTCACCCTGTTGGGAGTTTTCTATAGGCCTCCGAAAAGTTCCAGAGATGTAGAGGAAAAGATTGCAAAGATGATTCTGGATAGGAGCGAAAGTAACAGGGTAGTTGTTATGGGGGACTTTAACTTTCCAAATATTGACTGGAAACGCTATAGTTCGAGTACTTCAGATGGGTCAGTTTTTGTCCAATGTGTGCAGGAGGGTTTCCTGACACAGTATGTAGATAGGCCAACAAGAGGTGAGGCCACATTGGATTTGGTACTGGGTAATGAACCAGGCCAGGTGTTAGATTTGGAGGTAGGAGAGCACTTTGGTGATAGTGACCACCATTCGGTTACGTTTACTTTAGCAATGGAAAGGGATCGGTATATAAAGCAGGGCAAGAGTTATAGCTGGGGGAAAGGCAATTATGAGGCGATGAGGCAAGATTTAGGATGCATAGGATGGAGAAGGAAACTGCAGGGGCTGGGCACAATTGAAATGTGGAGCTTGTTCAAGGAACAGCTACTGCGTGTCCTTGAGAAGTATGTACCTGTCAGGCAGGGAGGAAGTGGTCGAGCGAGGGAACCGTGGTTTACTAAAGAAGTTGAATCTCTTGTCAAGTGGAAGAAGGAGGCTTATGTAGAGATGAGGCGTGAAGGCTCAGTGAGGGCGCTTGACAGTTACAAGTTAGCCAGGAAGGACCTAAAGAGAGAGCTAAGAAGAGCCAGGAGGGGACATGAGAAGTCTTTAGCAGGTAGGATCAAGGAAAACCCTAAAGCTTTCTATAGGTATGTCAGGAATAAAAGAATGACTAGAGTAAGATTGGGGCCGGTCAAGGAC